TCATTTTGCCACCCTATTTGATTTTCATGCCACCCTAAGAAAATTTCTCTAGTTCAGCTCCTGAAAAATTAAAGAAATTAAATAAAATATGAACAAAATGATCAAACCAGCTTTAATAAAAGTCTAAACAAATCATATTTTCTGTGTTTTAATCTGTCTGTTGTCTTTCTAATCAGGGCTGAATCATCAGTTATAAAAAAAGCTGATGAACACACATGATACTGACACATATCTGCATCACTGTGCTGCGCTTTATTACTTTATTACACATTTATTATACATTTATTACACATTTATTACACTTTGTCTTATTTATTTATTCCTGTTGGTTCTAATCAGTGGTCAGTACTTTTGACAGTGGGAAAAAGTCACATTTCAGCTTGACGAGAAGTCCTGTGTGTGTGTCTGTGTGTGTGTGCGTGTGTCTGTTTGTCTGTGTGTGTGAGTGTGTCTGTGTGTGTGTGTGTGTGTGTGTGAGAGAGAGAGAGAGAGACTGTGCTGATGTTGTTTCTGGTTCGTTTTCTCCACATTAAAGATAAAACAGCAGAAACTGAAGCAGGGTTCCTGTCTCTCTCTCTCTGTGGGTGTTTGTTATGTAAATGTCTCTCGTCCTGTCTGACAAACTGAATCCACACCAGAGGAGGAGGACACTCCTCAGCAGCCATGCTTTCACTCTCAGGTAGTTTCTGACCTCCTGCAGAAACAGTCACACCTGCAGTGACTCCCCAAACATGGAGGGAAGGAGCTGCACTGCCTCCTTTATTGCATTCTTCAGCTGAGGAGACACTGGAGCCTCCTTTAGGGAAGGACAGGAGATAAATCTATCCCATAATCCTCAGCGGCACGGCCTCGGATTGTTCATGAAAACGAACATCAGCACGACTGTTGAAGAGTTTCCAGCAGTTTGTTGTGAGGAGGAGGTGAAGTGTTTTCTGGATGTTTGGAGTTAAACTGGTCAGACTGGTGAGGATCCAGGTTTCCGTTTTAACTGTCACGTTAAAGGGGGCGGGGTTACAGTCAGGCTGAAGTTTCTCACCTGCAGCTCCATGAAGACAGGTGAGAGCGGGCGAGAGACATTCAGTCCCGACAGAGAGAGAGAGAGATGAAAGGAGGCCGAGAGCTCCTCTTTCTCCCAGTCTGAGGACAAAAGACAGAGTCAGGTGTCCTCCTCCTCCTGCTCCTCCTCCTCCTGCTGCTGCTCTTTGTTTCTGCTCTTTGTCGGCAGAGGTGTGAACGGCCCGGAGAACAAAGCAAGGAGAGGAGGAGGAGGAGGAGGAGGAAGGATGGAGAGGACAGGAGGCCTGTGGGAAACTGTCACCTGACTGACGAGCGGACACGTTTGACAGACAGGTGAGAGTCCCGCCCCCCAGTGATGTCACAACAGCGGAGGAAGACACGACGATTCAAAATGCAGAAATAAAAATAATCATTAAATTAAATTAAATTGAAAAGGTGAAAAACAAAATAAAATGAATTTAAAATGACAAAAAAATATAGCAAGAGAGTCGAAATTAAAAAGAATTCCTAAAATAAAAAAATAAAAAGTCAGATAAATTGGAAAATATCAAGAATTTAAAAGTTTAAAACCTAAAACTTAATATT